ATTATCTGCCGGACAACAAGGAGCGATGAGGAGAGGACAGATGGGAGGAAATACAATTTTCCTCCTTGTCTCTCTATTTCCACAGTATGGAGTTTTGGGGTAGGTCTGGCCAGCCTCTGGGGTCCCAAACCCTCACCCCATAGCTGAGGGGTGGAGCCCGAGCCTGGTAGGAGCTCTGGCCTGGGGGTGGGGGAGGGGCTGGGGTGGGGAGTAGGGGTGGGCAGATTTTCCCTAATGGTCTCATTTGTGCCTCTTCCGTACTCTGAGGGAGGGAATTTGTCTGCACAGATTTATTATCAGACGAGGACGCCACCAAAGAAATCAGCATCCCCGGCCTCTGAGTCAGTGTCCGGCCCGGAGCAGTGAAGGAATGGAGGGTGGTTGGAGTTTTCCTGGGTAAACAACCCCAGGATCCTCTCCAGACTAGGCCACCCTCATCAAAACCTCAGAGATAGAGACATCCACTTTGGAAATGCAGCTCAGGTGTGGGAGGCTGAGTTGACCAGGCTACATGGCTGCACCACTTTATGTGTCGGAACCAAATCTTTGAACCTTTTCACTTAGTCGGGTCTGCTGGATGCAGGGTACCAGCAGAACAAACAGTGCCCAACTGGGCTGAAGTCTCCCTGACTCCATGACTGCATGGCAAGAGCCAGCCAGGCAGGTATGGAAGCTCAGGGCTGTGGCAACCTGCCACGGCCCTGGACAGCAACACAAAATGCCTGTCAGTGGGGCAGGAGGGCGGGACCCCCCTTAAGCTCTTGGGGCTTCAACCCCCCCCCCAGGTGAGCAACCAGAGCATCCATGGGGGACCTAAGCCTTCCAAGGCCTCAGCTCCAGCCTCTCTCCATTGCCACATGCTCTCTAGTGCCTTGGTTCTACCAGGGCGGCTACTCAACTGTCACGTCTGCTGCTCGGCCTGTGTCCGAGAACGTGCGGAGGGTGTCGGGGATTGACAACACAGAGATTCGTTCAACGATATAAAGAAAACTTTAAACAGGCTCCAAAAAGATTCAAGAAAACTTCCTAAGAAAGGCTCCCACCAGAGAAGCTTCTGCTCTCTCCTCTACCCTGGCTGGTTCTGCTCTGACCCCAGACGTGGATGTGTGTGGGTTTTGAAGGTGCGGTTAGTCTTTGGACAAGGTCGAGGTCAGGGCGGTTTCCGTGGGAAGGCCTTTTCCAGGAACTTATTGTATCGTTTTTAGTAAACATGTTTTTACTAAACATTGTCTTACAGCTGCCTACTCCCAGGCAGAAGGGGAAGTGGGTCTCTGCTCAAGGTCTGGTGTTCCCACACTCAACATGGCTGGGGGTCTCCCCTTGTCATCTCCCTCTTCTCTGGCTGTTCTCTCTGTGTCTCTCTCTTCCTCCCGGTAGATTCGCCTCACACTGACATCTCCCAGTCCCTGCTTCCTGCCCCCTCCCCCAGGCCCTTTTCAGCCTAGTTACCTCACTGCTCACACCTACGGTTCTGATCCTCAGGGTCTTGTACACCTGCCGCTGAGGGCCTGCAGGGGTTCACTCCTTCCAGACAGGTGACAGTCCTGGGACCCCAGGCACCCTTCACCCTGCCCGCACCCTGACTCTGCCTTCTGCGGCTGAGAGGCTCAGCCACCTTCCGGCCCCTGCTGTCTTCCTGCTTGAGTTCCCCAGGGTATGAGTATCTCAACCGGACATCTGGCCTTTTAGAAGCCACCTCTGTCTGGCTTCCTTGGCTGTGACAGAGAGGGTCAGAGGAATATTCTAATGGAAGACACCTAGGGGATGGGGCAGGGGGTTTCCCAGAACAGTTCAAAAGGCCCGGGGGCTCAATTCCTTCATGGGGTGGCCATGTGACCACAGGACCTCGTCGAGGACAGACTCCTGAGGGAGAGGAGGGGCAAGAACTTCCAATACTCCTCCGGGACTGGTATCCACTGGATCCTGGTTCCTCCTTAATATCCCACCTGTACCTAGGTATTTGGTAAGGAAGGCCAAGGTCAAGAGGCCTTCCTACCCATCAGCCCTCACACTCCATCCATTCTTCACTGATGTGACAAGTGACCCAGTCAACCCTGGAAGGGCAGAAGAGGAGCGTGTGTGTGTGTGTGTGTGTGTGTGTGTGTGAGAGAGAGAGAGAGAGAGAGAGAGAGAGAGAGAGAGAGAGAGAGAGAGAGAGAGAGACCAGTCTTAATAATGCATTTCTGGAGACCTCCCTGACTACCAGCCAAGCCCTGTGCTCATCAAAGACGGCAACACTCCTCTCCTGAAACCCCACCCCCAAAGTAGAATCACAAACTGTCCTTCAGTGAATGTTCCAGTGACCTCTTAACAGATGGGTAAACTGAGGCACAGAGAGGCTCTGGTGCTTCCCTAAGCTGCATGCCCCTCCTGTACCCTTTCTTCTGCCCCCTTGGTGCCTGCCATGCCCCATCTCGCTGAGAGAGGCTGGGTGAGCTGAGCCCCGGCTGACACGCTAGATACTGGAGGAGTCGCTGGGCCCTCTCTCCAGGTGGAGTGTGACAGGTGCCAGGACAGTCGTGTCTCTGCTGGTCCCAGCGTTTATTTCCCTGAGGCTGACCCTGAGATCAGGCCCTGCGGGTTGCCCCAGGCAATGCTGACATCACTTCTCCTGGGCTGTGTGGTTAAGGGAGGGGACAGGCTGGTAGTCAGCAACAGGGCCTGAGGGGGAACCTCAGGCAAAAAAGAGTCTGATATGGCCCTGGCCTCCATGTGACCTCCATCGCTGACACCCCCGCCCTATTCCTATGTGTTGGCCTTTGAGGTTCAGAGTGTGTATACGTGGTTTGTGCATGTGTGTGTGTGTGTGTGTCTGTGTGTGTGTGTCTGTGTGTACGTGTGTGTGTCTGTGTGTGTGTCTGTGTATGTGTGTGCGTGTGAGTGTGTGTGTGTGTGTCTGTGTGTGTGTCTGTGTGTGTCTATGTGTGTGTGTCTCTGTGTGTGTGTGTCTGTATGTGTGTGTGTCTCTGTATGTGTGTGTGTGTCTGTATGTGTGTGTGTCTGCCTGCCTGACTGTATGTCCACTCCCAGTCAGGTCCTGCCATGGCTTAGTGACACCTCTGCAGATCTGTCCCTTCAGTGGGGATGGCTGAAGGCCGAGGAGAGCTGTACCCAGGAACGGTGCTGGACCCAGATGCCAAGCTGCAAGGGAGGCCAACTCCCCCACTGCTCTTTCTGGGATCCCACACAGTCCAGTGTGCAGAGTGACAGACGAATGCGCCAGCCACACCCAGTGCTCTCTGAAGGACAGGTCACCACTTGGAGAGGGCTCTCAAGGGGACTGTCTTAGGAAGCCACAGATGAGAGGTGTGGACAGCCACGACACCATGCTTCGGGAAGAACCTCCTCCTCAGGAGCGCCATATGCAGCTGGATGAAGCTGAGGGAGCTTACGGCACAGGAGTTAGGAGATAGAAGGGGACTAGCCGAGGCCCTGGGAAGGGACAAGTGGCATCACTGTAGGCTAAGACCATGGAACCTCATGGTGCAGTTGGTGGGAGCAGTAGATTTGGGCCAAGCTCATCTGGGGCAAACCCATGGGAGATTCCCAGCTTCCCCCAAGAGCCCATCCCAGGGCCTCCTGCTTGGCCTCACACCAACCCCACAGGAAACTATGCATGGGTCCAGAAGAAGACGCGCCCCAGTCCAGGCATCTTCAGTTGCTGGGGGATCAGCTCCGCCAGCCTCCCGCTGCCAAGGACAGCACAGGGCTGCTGTTCTCTGCTGGGTGCTGCCCACCGCTCCCAGGGTGGCCTGGCCCTGCAAGGCCCTCGTTAGCCTGAGGTTTGACTGTTTACTTTTCCAGGATCTCTCTGGCCTCCAGGTTCCAACTAGGGTTGAAATGGGGTTGCAGTTTTCATAGGCTCTTCCAAAGGCTTGGCACTCAGCCCCAGCAGGGGGAGGAGAGCAGGCATGGGTGAGGCTGGACTTTCAAGAACCTTCCAAGCCAAAGAGGCAGAAAAAGCAGTGGGAAGGTTCTAAGAGCTGTTTGGTCACAGAATCTTGTAGACAGAGTTGTGCACAGCCCAAGGGTGCCCACCAGGGCCAAGTAATAGGCCTGAGTGTCAACCTAAGCCTGTGACTTGAAACTTAAGAGAGAGTAAAAATAATTATGTGTGTGTGAATGGGGTCTTCTGTGGAGATTAGAAGTGTTGTCTCCTGTCTCACGGAACTGGAGTTACAGATGGGTGTGAGCCCTCTAACATGGGGGCTGGGAATTGAACTCAGGCCCTCTAGGAGGGCAGTGCTCACTCTTAGCTGTTGGCCATCTCTCCAGCCCGAGGGGGATGGTTCCTGAGAATAAAAGGTCAGGCCCACGAGTATTGGAGTCCATGCATCGGGCCACTCACAGTCATCAGAGACAGAGGCCTGGACTGAGGGCTGGAGGTGCTGGGATCCCAGTCAGCTCCACCCATTGGGCAGGCTTTCTGGGGTCCCTGAAGTGCCCCATGGTCACTTTGGAACTCCCTATCCAGAGACCTGGGAGATGCTTAAGGCAAGGGCTTGCCTGTCCTACCTGTCGCTCTCAGGCTGGTGGCCAGCCCTGGGTTCTGAGGACATTCCAGACCATCAGAAGGGAGAGCGGGAGGCAGGGCCACTGAGATGGGGGAGGGAGCAGCCGATGACTGTGTGGGAGCCTTGGATCGTTCCAGTGATGCTGGGACCCACTGTGTGCACACCAGGGCCTGTTGGGTAATGGACAGGGTACTGGGGTCCTCTGGGGCGGTACCTGCAGATCCCTGAAGCTGGGCTGGGAACCCCCTCTCAAGTCCTGGGGTCAGTGGCAGGATCAACTGCTCCCTGTAATAGATCCTCCAAGGAAATGGCAGGTATGGCACCCCAGGGTGGGGCATGGGGGGGCGGATGTAGTGAGGGCCGGCCTCACTGTGATCAATGTCTATTTCATAGGACACTTTTACCTGGCTTCATCCTCCCGTCACTGGTGTCATTTTTAAAGTTTGGTTTTGTAAACGTTTGTGCTTTATTTGTTTATCTGCTGAAATTACCGGTGCATTTATACATTCAATATTTAAAAGGTAAGTGTGCCATACGGAGGCTCCCCTCCCCTCCCCCAGGGACCAGACGCCCTCCCTGGAGGCAGCCTGCTTTGCTGACGACTTCCCCTCCAAGGTGTCTGCATAAAGAAACAAACACAGGCATAGAAAAGCAAACAGGACCTGATGTTCTCCCTTAACTCAGACAGCAGCCTCCTGTCACGGGGGCTTCTGTGGCAGTTCCCTACCAGTATTCAGTTACTGGCTAGGAACACTACTGAAAGTCCAGAGAGGTTAAGACACTGGTCTGGAGTCACACAGCTTGGTGGCAGGATGTCCAGCCATCATAGTACACCTATGGTGTGGGCTAGCGGTCAGGATAATTTTCTAGAAAGAGGCAAGGGATGGAAGAAACAGCAAGAGGAACGGAATGGCTGAGGGTGGGGAGATGGGTGGGTGGGCAGTGTTTCAGGTGGGCTCTCATCTCATCTCTTCCCCGGAGTAGGGTATCAGGCTGACCACACCTCCCACCCTGCCCTGCCCCATCCCTGCTCAAGTTCCCCTGCAGACCACTGGAGCTGGCATGTGCCATCTGGAAAATGGGTGCATAGTGGACACAGGAGTATCAGGGTATGAAAGTGGAGAGATGGTGTCACCCCTTCCCTGTGAATGCTCCGTCCTTCCTTCCCTGCGAAGGTTCCAGGACCCGATCATGGTCCAGCCTCACTGCAGCTTGAGGCTACAGCTTTTGAGGGCGGGGCCCTGGGCGAGCCCACTCTGTGTCCCGGCTGCGCCCTGGACGAGCCCACTCTGGGTCCCGGCTGCGCCATGGGCGAGCCCACTCTGGGTCCCGGCTGCGCCATGGGCGAGCCCACTCTGGGTCCCGGCTGCGCCATGGGCGAGCCCACTCTGTGTCCCGGCTGCGCCCTGGACGAGCCCACTCTGGGTCCCGGCTGCGCCATGGGCGAGCCCACTCTGGGTCCTAGAGTGTGGTCTGGCAGAGTTGCTGCAGGTTTGGATCCCTGCAGGGAGGGATGTTTTCAGCTGTTGTGAGCTGGGTAACAGCCTGAGAACCTGGTTAGGACAGAGTTGAAGGATCCAGGAGGAAGTGATCTTGAACAATAGTTGCCCAGCCCAGCTCCTGGCCTTGGCAGGGCCCAATGGGTGGCTGTGGTTGATGCTGGAGACTCTGGAGCCTGTGTGGAGAGACCTTGATTCCTTGACGCCCACACCATGTAAAATCAGGGTCCTGGAACTCCCGCCGCCAGGGACCCTGCTGCCTCATCCTCCGCAATAGCTGGGATCGAGCACGTGCCATGGAGCCTGGCCATCCTTTCTGATCCCAGCTTCTCTGAAAATGTCCAGAAAGGGGAGAGATTGTTAGCCTCCATCAGGCCGAACCTTCCGATTTGCTGTGTGATCTTGGGATCTATACTCATCCTCTCTGGGTCCACAATTCACTCACACCTGTGACCCAACCTAGCAGTTTTCAGTCCCTGCCTGTTCCTGACCCTCACACCCAATGTAAGTCAGAACACTCGCTCCCCAGAGAGAATCTGCAGGCCCAGAAACTTCTGTGGAGTGCAGACAGAAGGACCCTGGATACTGACTCAGGCCCAGCTTTGGCCTGACAGATGAGGACCCCAGGCCCAGGCCTCTCCATTCTGCTGGGACCCTGGTTCAGCTTTGCTCCCAGAGGCTGAGGTGATGTTTTTGGCTATGTAGCCCAGGCTGGTCTAGACTTGAGGCAATCCTCCTGCATCATCCTCCTGAATACTGGAGTCACAAGTATGTGCTACCTCAAACAGCTCCCTGGGTCTCTCAAATGTTCCTCCCATACTCCAAGTGCCCAGAATCCTGCTGTAGGCAGGTGAGGGGTGGAGTGGGGGGGAGGGAATGGCATGTGTGTGTGTGTGTGTGTGTGTGTGTATCTGTGTGTGTGTATCTATGTGTGTGTATCTGTGTATGTGTTTATTCCTGTGTGTGTATCTGTGTGTGTGTCTGTGTGTACCTGTGTATGTGTGTGTATCTCTGTGTGTCTGTGTATGTGTGTGTATCTGTGTATGTGTGTGTATCTGTGTGTTTGTATCTGTGTGTGTGTGTGGTGGGGGGAGCTGCTTCCTCCTTGGTCTCTGGGGGCTTGTGTTCCACTCTGGCTCCCGAGGAGGAATGGTTTGGAAGAGGAACTGATTGAAATGTACTTTTCGTTTCGGGGGAAAATTAAAGTCTTCAATTTGAGAGCATGGCAGCAATTAGTGTTTAATCACGGGAGGTTCTAGAATGTGGAAAAGTGCCCTGGCTGGGGAGGGCACCTGGCCCCGGGGCTGATTACAGACCTGCTTCCTGCCAGAGTGTCAGTCAGGAAACCCACCCCCCTCCAAAGACTAAAGTGTAATTGGTGCAGCCATGTGCTTTCTGGAAGAAAGGAATGGGGTGTGGAGAGTGGATAGCAGGGTCCCGCTGCTCCTCCCTGCTCCGTGGGGGCCGTGGGGAGGAGTGGGGAGAGCGAAGCCCCAGGAGGGAGACTCCACCTCCCACACCTGCGTCCACACCCCGCCCGTGCCGTTTACTCACCAGCCACGTGACCGTGAGACATCCACAGGTCTCCATGCCAGCCTCACGTAAGTGTGCCTCCGACTGTCCTGGATCCTAGTAGGTCTACAATGAGGGGGAGAGGAAGGGGGGGTCAGTTAGGGCGGGGCTGGGCCCATGCACACTGCTGAGCAGGGCCCGGCAGGCTGAAGCGCCAGATGGCTCTCTGGGCCACACACCCTGGATGTCAGCAGACAGTTGGGGTCAGGGAGTGTGGCTTCTAGGCAGTCGGCAACAGCCCACTCGTGGGTGGCAGGGCACCTCCGAAGCTCTATAGGAGTCCGGCTAGTCTCTCCCTTCCTTCCGCAGCACCTGGGACCCCTCAACTCTGTCACATGTGCCACAGCTCATCGCTTACAGAACCACACAGACTTGGGGGGCGTCAGACCCCTTGCTAGCCGTGACTGGAGCTGTTGGGGCATCTCTGCATGACACTGCAATTACCTCTGCCCTTGGCTGGTGGTGGATACTGGTAGTGCTCATCTTCTTGTCCCTCCGGCAAGTGTCCGCTCCCAGGGGCAGTTGTGGACTCTGAGTGGATGAACTGACCTCATGTCACCTCTGTGGAGAAGACATGGCGTACCAGATACTGCGTTAAGTTTTCTCTGCCCTTGGGCTGACTTCTCATTGCTACTGGGTGAGACAGACAATCACTCCCATTTTCCAAACTGAGAATCTAGGCTTCTCCCAGCCAGAAGCCTAGTGATGGCTTTGGTTGGGTTGACGTAGAGCCAGGACTCTGTCCAGTTCTGGCCGCTGTGTTGGAGTCAGAGGCTGCAGCTGCGTGGGTGGGCAGGAGGGGTAGGCCCACAGGCTTGGCTAACGGCCCTCGGCAGGACTGTCATGAATGGGAACAGGAAGTCCTAAGTTCAAGTTCTGATCTGGTGGGAAGGCACAGTTCCTCTGTGCCCTCTTCCTTCTCTGCCTTCATCCCCCAGGCTGAGGAGGACAGACTGGGAGATGGGTTTCAGGGAGAAGGCTTAGAACGACATTGCTCGGGGTCCCAGGCGGCGTTTCATCTTTCTCTTCTGCCCAATGGGCCCATGACTCCTCCCCTCTAGGTACCAAGGGATAAAGCTATGATGCAGTGCTCTTCAACCTTCTTAATGCTGTGACCCCTTGAGCCAGTTCGTCATGTTGTGGTGGTGGCCCCCCAACTATAAAATTATTATCGTTGCTACTTTATAACTGTAATTTTGACACTGTTATGAATCACAATGTAAATATCTGGTATGCGGATGGTCTTAGGCGACCCCTGTGCAAGGGTCATTCGACACCTCCTGCAAACCCACAGGCTGAGAACTGCTGCTGTAAGGGAAGAGTGAGCCTGGTAAAAATCTGAAGAGAGAGGACTACTTGGAAGGGTCATTTCCCCCAAGATACCACCTAGTCATTGGGGACCTCAGAGGCTGGGGGTGCAGACTGATGCTCCAAGTCATATCAGAGCCTCCCTCCTCCCCTTTCTGTGCCAACAGCTCTAAGTGAGGGACCTTTGCAGCCAGGCCTGAGTGGGTGGGTAGGTGGCGCTGGCTTAGCCAAGAAGTGCCTGCCTCTGATTTGTGGCTCGTTTCCATGGCAACCGATTGATTGCCCCAGCTGCAGACTCAAGGAGAATGAGCTTTCTCCCAAGCCTGGCTGCCTGGGAGGCCACCAACAGCGGTGGCACCTATGCCTCCCCAGTGGAGTCACCCTAGCTCCACTCACGAGCCATCATTGGCACCTGCTGTGTGCACATGTGGTGACGCAGCAGGAGGAGAGCCCGAGCATATATGAAGCACCTACTGTGTGCAGTTGAAGTCCCAGGGCCCTGAACTGAACCTGGTCCAGGTATACCCCAAGCCTGGGAGCTTAAGTAGCAGACCCAGAGGCTTCTCTGTGGCACTTCAAGGACGTAGAGCAGTTAGGGGGACAACCTGCACCCCTGGCCCACCAGGACATAAGGGCGGAAGCATGGTCCTCTGAGGGAGGCCAGGCTGGAGCGATGCATGAGTCAGGGTACATCTGGGCTGAGAGAGGGGCGGGGTGGGAGTGAAGGGGATCATGCAGGGTGCGGGGTTGGCAGAGGCAGGGGGGTGGCCAGCCGGGCTCTGGGCAGGGGTCTGCCCTGGAGCCCCGGGTGAGGTCACCAGTAAGCGTGGCAGGCTGGTGCTGTCTTTCTGACTTGCCAGCTCCAGCCACAGATGCTTTCTTAACTGCCCTCCCCTCCGCCCTGCTGCCTCGAGGTCGGGTTTCCTTTGCCTAGGGTTGGCGAATCTCTAGTGTCCCTGACTACAGGTAAAGAAGGCTGGAGTACCAGGCCCTGGTGGTAGTTCCTCTCTTTTTCATGCTCTTGCGTCCCTCTGTCTCCCCAACCCCTAAAACGCCCTCCTTTCTGTCCTGGGACAGCCCCTGTCTCCTGTCTCCTTCCTTGCCCTTGGGGGCAGTTTTACAGTGAGCCTGGCCCCAGTCCCAGCCCTGCCCTCTGCCCTGGCCCCCACCACTTCACCCTCTTCATTCTAAACCTCTGCCTGGTCTCTGGTCCCCGGACGGGCGCTTTCGGCCTGGCCTCATTGACATTCCCCCCACAGCAGCCTTAGCCACATGCTGGCTGCAGGAGCTGTTCATGTGAAGGAACAAGGTAGCAAGGTTGGGCTGAGGGCCGGGAGGGGCTTGTGGGATGTTCTGGAGTGCCTGCCTGAGCTCAGTCTGGGGTCTGAGCAGGACAGGTGAGGCCAGATCTTGCCAGCTGGCAGATCACATTTGCCACTGAGCACTGAGGACCTGGAACTTCAAACCTCAACTCGTTAAACCCAGAGCTAGGGAGGCCTTTTGATCTTTCAGGAGGTGAGGCCCATCCCCAGTGGGGCAGCTGGCAGGATTCACCCAGACTGATATCCTGACATCGGTGTCCCAGCTGCCTGTACTCTCTGATGCTCCTGGGTTCCTGAAGTCCTGTGAAGCCTCCAAGGAGAGCCAGGGTCCCTACAGGTACAAATGGGGGTGAACAAGGAAGAAAGGCAGAGAGAGGACCCATGCCCTTTCACGGAGAGCTCGAAGCCTTCAGAGCAGGAATCAGGTTGTTGAGAAAAGAGGGGACTGGGATCCTAGTCTGGGGAGGGGGATGAAATCGAAGGTGGCTGGAGACACGGGCTCAGTTGGTTAGAGCGCTTGCCTTGCTTCTGTAGCCCAGGTTGGCCCACACTTCTGTGGGACTAAAGATTCAGAAATACCAGTCCAAGTCCTGGTGCTCCCTGGGCTAACCGCAGCACCAGGAGATGTGCATGAATATTCATAAGGGCAACAGGAGATGCTCATGCATATTCATAACAACTGCAAGATCTCACCAGGGGCAGCCTGAAGGTGGGGGGGGGGCAGATCTATAGACGCGTCCTAGACTTGGAGCTTGCTATAAGACTTGGGGGGACAAGCAGAGGATGTGGGGCCACACTGAACAATGGCTAAAGAAGACAATTCCAGGACAAAGACCCATCCACCCATGCAGGAAGAGCAGGCTGTAGTGAAAGACAGTATTTTCACATTTAGGTACTGACGGAGGACACGGTCTCCAGGGGTAGGGCAGTGAGGACCCAGAGGGGTACAGGCCACCTATGTTGAGAGTATGGGATGAAAAAGAAAGGGCTAGAGATATGGCTCAGTTGGTAGAATGCTTGCCTAGCATGCGTGAGGCCATCAGTTCAAGTCTCAGCACCCCATAAACAAGATGTGGTGGCAAATGCCTGTAATTCCAACTCTAGGCAGAAGGAGGCAGGAGGCTGAGAAGTTCAAAGTTGTCTTTAGCTACACAGGGAGTTTGAGGCCAGCTTGTGTTACATGGGACCCTGCCTTTTCCACCAAAATAATAACAGCAAAATTATTTCAACCAACCTCTGCCAGCAAAACAAGATACACACGAAAGAGAGGAGCAGAGACAAGGGCAGCCAGTTAGGCCTCTTGCAACCCCAGCATGCCGGAAATGCATGCTCTGGATGCTGAAGATGAAGCCAGCTAGGCTTGGGCAGAGACTGGGCATGCCACAATGGAGGCTCGGCTAGGGATCCGAGAACATGTGGGGCTCTTTGTCTCCCAAGGAGCCAGGGCCACCCATTACAGAACACGGGTTTTCAAGGGAGGTTCAGAAAGGGCACACGGCTCGGTGTTGGGCACTTTCCCAGACTTCACACTTGATGCTCACTGACCCATTCCCATTCATTTAAATGAGAAACTGAGGCTGGAAATGTGCCCTTGTCCCATTAGTGAGGGATGGCAGCCAGATTCTGGAAAGGACTGGACAATCCTCATTTTTGGTTTTGGAGTTATACCTTGTGGGCAAAACTACCCAACTTGGCTATTGTCATGGTCTGTGTTTAAACACAGCTGCGGGGCGGGGCAGAAGCTCAGTGGGTAGCGCTGGCCCAGCACCACAGAGGCCCCCAGCCCCACCCTCTGCACTATAAAACAATTACTTTGGGTACGGATATGAACACAGAAAGCCCAGTCTCATACAAATTTCACAAGGCAGGAGCTGAACATAGCATTGCCTGCCTGTGATTCCAACACAGAGGCTGAGGCCGGAGAATTATCCAGAAATAGATGCCAACCCCGGGCTACATAGTGAGATCCGATCTAAAAAGAAAATGGGAAAGAAAACAAAATGACCAAGTAAAGCTTGGCCTTGGGTTGTGGCACTCCCCCTAAATAAATGTAATAAAAATGAAAGAAACAATTTGGGAGGCTGAGGCAACAGGAGATTGCTTTGAATTTGAGGCCAGGTTAGGCTATGCAGTGAGTTCAGGGCCAGCCTGAGCTATGTCTCAAAAACAAACAAACAACAACAAAAAATGAACAAATATATCATCTTAAAAGAAAAAAATAAAAAGCATGATTTGTTTTTGTTTTTTTCCAGACAGGGTTTCCTGGCTGTCTTGTAACTCAGAAGACCAGGCTGGCCTCGAACTCACAGATCCTCCTGCCTCTGCCTCCCAAGTTCTGGGATCAAAGGTGTGCGCCACCACCATCCAGTGATAAAAACCATGATTGATGGGTGGTTATGTCAAAGCAGTTGGCTGCAGGACTGGGCTCCTTGGGTGATGGTCTGTAAGTATCCTTAGCTTCCAGAGTAGACATGTCCTCCCAAGCGCCGTCCAAGACTGAGTCCCCTTCCATAAGCTGTCTGTCCTGGCTACTCCCTTCTCCCACCTTGAGATGCATGGACAGTGAGCCCACTCGCAGGCCACCCAGGAGTCAGTGTGAGGAAACCAACCCTAAGTATGACTTTGAACTTCCGACTCTCCTCCATCTCCTGACTCCTGGGATTACAGGCATGCGGCACCTAGAAGAGGGTCTTTTCTCAGCCACTCCCTAGTGGGGAGACCTGAGATCTCCAGCACACCTCAACCTGCAGGCCATTGTGAGGTCTCACCAGGGTGTGCCTGGGAAAGTGCCCAGTTCCCAAGTGGTCTCAGTCTCCCATCTTTTCATTTGTCTTCCTTAATGACTAAAGAATGTCATCCTGCCATCTCTGTAGACTCAGGGTGGTGTTTCAAATGCTCTTAAACACAGGGCTCCCTCCATGGCAGAGTGGCAGGGGACCCTGTAGGAGCTTGCCTGGAGGGTTGGCCATTATCAGTTAAAATAGAGGAAAAGGCCATCACCGTGGGAACAGAACTGGCCA